AAAGTAATTAAATACATAATCTATAAGTTTTATAGAAAAGCCTAGAACAAGGCTTTTTACCAAATACAGACGATGTCACAAGCTAGATAGCTATGTTCCCAGACTAGAAACTCAGTTACCAGAAAGTTATCATAATTGCTATTTCAATACATTTCCAGAACAATTGTGTAGAGTTTGTGAGAATGGTATTGAAGTTCGTGTGGAAGGATAAGCTGGCAAGACAAGCTAAGGAACCCCAAGTGGAAGGTCAGGCATGTAGGAAGAAAGACAGGCATTGCTGATCTCCTGCCCCATGTGGGTCTCCTCATGAAGCTACACAGTGCTAGTATGAGGCGATGACAAGCCAGAGGCAGGTACAGATATAAGCATTTATAGAGGACAGAGGTGGCATTTTCAATCTGTTTAGAAAGAACATTTTGATTCATGAATGAGGACAAGTGGGTAAGTAACAAAGCTAATGGTCAAGTGACAATATACAATGGAAGGTGAAATAAAGTCCTTTACTCATAAAGAGCACTCCTATATCAATGAGAAAATACATTACAACAGAAGAGCAGCACTGAAAATGTTAATGAGTAGAAAAATTACAAACAGCCACTAAGATAGGGAGATACAGTTACCTCCACTAATAATCATGGAAGTGTAGAAAAAAACAGGGACAGAACAGAGAGTCTGTGATGTGAAGGAGGACACTGTAACTCCACCTAAATACACCTGGCTGGGTCCCTTGGGCTTTAGGAGGGGCAGCCATTGTCCTTGCACAAGGACACCTGACTAACAACTGTGTCCACCAAGGCACTAGCTTACCTCCAGTCCTGCAACAAGGCCTGTGTCCAAAGCTCTTGGTTTCAAAGCAACTCCAATGTTCTCCTCCTCACTTTCTTTTAAAAGCCTCCCCTGTTCCATCCTCTTGGGATATACTTATGGTATGCATATCCTGCATTGTAATAGCTGCCTGTTCACGAACAGACTCTGTCCTGGCCAGTCAGGCTGCATCACTCATTTTAGGCTAGCATAAGTCACTCAAGTTGTAGGACTAGATTTGCATCAGGGGCCTAGGAGACTCAAAAAATGGGAAAGTGGGCCTAATTATGAACTCTAGGAAAACCAAGAACTGCCTAAGAAAGGCCATCTACCACCCCATGCTGCAGAGCCCAGCTGTAAGTGATGTGTACCGTCACAGTAATGTAAACGCCGAGTTCTTTTAACCAAAAGATGGTGATGCACACCAAGACTGGAGAAGTGGCGGTATGTGCTCATTCATGTGGGATGGGACGAGCACACAGTCTTCTCCAGGAGGAAGAAATCACTGAATGGAGTCCCCGTGGAAGGACAAGGATGGCCCTCTTCCTCACAGTTGACCCTGGAGTCACCATGGGGCATGGGAGGGGTGGGGCCCTGCTGCTGTTGGCTAAGCCTGCACTATTTTTCAATAGGAAACATTATGAATATGTGCTTCTTTAATAAAACGCTTTTAAAACTACATATCCTAATAAAAATTTATAAAAAGTAAGTAATATAGAAACCCCAAAGTAGCAATTCTAGGCACTGCTAAATCACCTACGCAACCCTGGTATGAGGTGGCTAAGAATTTAATGGGCACACACTGGCCTCATGTGGGACTGATTCCAGGGAGGAGAGAAGAGGCCTAAGAGTAGATGGGAATGTAGTGCTGACATCAGTGCAAAGAGCAAGGCAGCACTAAAACCCTTATAAAAACCTCATTTACCCAAAATTAACAATTTTACTTATATTTGAAAAACTACTCCCATTCCAATTATACAGTTCTATTCAAATTCACTGATGATTTAATGACACTAATTAGATTGTGTGTTCAAGAAATCTGTCTGAAAAACACCACTGCCAAATGTCATTAACAGTATGGCTGCATGAACAGAGTTTAAACCATCAAAACAAAAGCCTACTAATGGAGCAACACAATTACGCAGCTCAAAGGCTTTTATGATTTCCTCATTCATGAAAAACACAATTAAAATGGAAAGGACATGCAGCCTTGAGCTCCTTCCTATGCTTTCTGAGACCCTGCCCCAGAGGCTGGTTCCACAGCCAGGTTTCTGGGCCTCAGGCTTCTAAGGTCTGGCACTGTAGGGCAGGGCAGTCCTCCCACATACACACCTAGGCCAGGGCCAGGCCCTCAGTTACTAAGCATGGACATGAGCTCTCTTCAACCCCACAGCAGCATAGGGAGCTCTACTGCATGAGGCGTGGAGATGGGTACTGGGAGGTAGGCCCCGGCTGGAGAGACCCTGACCCAAGGGTCATCTTTATGCTTGTTGCTTTCTGTACCATACCTGAGAACCCCTCATACACCCCTCAATGTGTGTACTTCTGAGGTTATCTTTTGTCTTGTAAAAGTATCCAATTCAACCAATACACAGTAAGAGCACAAAGTCTGTTTTCACTACTCCTCTGCACCAATTTGGCCATGGCCAGCTCAGGCCATCCTCCAATTGCACACACACACTACAAGGCCCCCTACATAGATGCACAGACAGTGGTTGAAGGCCAAGACACCAGAGGAAAAAGTCATTGAACAAGTAGCCACTACAGTGCATTTTCAGTCAGGCTCTGTGCTGGGTCTGTAGAGAAACCAGAGCGTGCACAAGTGTCTCTATTCCAAAGCAGCCAGAACAGGCAGGGTGTGGCAAGCTGTTTCTGCCTGGACAGCAGGGTCCACCTTCCTGGCCCTGTCTCCTCACCTTGTGCTGCAGGGCTCTCTCCTCTGCTATGGAGCTGGAAAGGATTCTCTGCCCAGCCCTCACTCAGCACCCAGAGGCTTGGCCTCAGCCCAGATGGCTTCCTGGAAGAGTTTGCAGTGCTGAACTCTATGAGAGGGGTCTGGGGTCCAGAAATCTGGCTACAGACCCAGACTCTAAATCTGGGTCTCAAAAGCCCAGAAAGAAGCTCTAGGTTACAAGACAGATGCCTACAGGCCCATCCTGAGATGCAGTGCAGTGACCAGCCCATAGGTGGCAGGGAATAAAGGAGCCTCTCAAAAAGGATAGGGAAATGCTGAATGGCTATTTACTGGGTGGCTCTTCTCCATTTCTAAAATGAGACAACAGAAGGGTTTGTGGTTGGCCCCAGGTGATAAGACCATTGTCAAGAAGTTGAGCACTCAGGCTCTGTGAGGGACTGGCCTTGTGTAGAACATGAAAGAGCTAAGGCTCCATTTATCAGTTGCTTTTAGGAGTCATGGAAACACAAAGATAAAAGTTCAAGAAATGAGTAAGACAAATGGCCTGCCAAGGTTGTCCTTGGTCAACAGCTAAAACGCCAGTGCTTGGAGGCCACTGGGCAGGCATTACCTGAAATGACTTCCACTGACTGTGACTTCCAGCTGGCATATGCTCACTGCCTAAGGCCATCCTGAAACACCCTGCTCCCAGTCCCAGAAATGAGGACCTTTGGTAGGAAGCAGGCCTGATCTGTTCGTAGCACATATTGCTGGGCAGCCATTAGCAAAGTGAAGGCTCTAGCATCAGCAGGCCCAGGCCCAGTGGTGACCTGGTTGCACTAGCCTGGAGAAGTGTTGGGAGCATGAAGGGCCTGGCACTTGTGAAGTCTTCAACCACTCCAACCCAAGCCCAAGAGCACAGAGCAGCACCTGTTAACAGCCATCCCTCAAGACAACAATCACTAAAGCAAAAATCAAAATGCCAAAGTCCCAGGCCTCTAAACAGCTCTCAGTCCAGAATGAAGCTTCCTAAACCCCTACCTCACAAAGCTTGAGGAGGCTGGAGACAAAGCTCTCAGGGATGCCTTGACAGGGACTCTGAACTGCTGCTGGGCTACTCCCTAGGCAATCCGGGCTTTGATGTGCTCTCTGAGCTAAAGAAGAGCCCTGGGCAGCCACCTCAGCAACCCACTGTTTGGCCTAGACATAGATCCTTGTCCACAACTCTCCCATGATGTATGAGAGCAGTACAATGACAGGCAGAATGTGTCCAGGTGAAGGTGTACCATTCCAGGGCAGGCTCTCTAAACACTGTGGTTCCATCTTGCTTCTGTTCTTTTGAATTGTTAGCTTGCTTTGGGAAAGCTTCCTCATTCTGTGAGCAGCCCCTCGAATGAGGATTTGAGGCTACTGCCCCACATCCTCCAAACATGGTCTAGTAGGCTCTTCAGATAAAATCACTCTAACCAACACTGACTGAACCTTGGGAGAGATCCAAGTCAGAACCGCCAGTGACTGACTATTCCTGGACCTGGATTCCTGACCCACAGAAACGGAGAATACATGTTTGCTGTTGCTGCAGCTGAGTGTTGGCATAATTTGTTACACAGCAATGGATAACTCCTACAATCTGGTTTGTGGGGGGGCAGTTTCCATTGTTTAATGTGGCTGTGAAATATGAAAATGCCTACGTAATTTTAACATGACCATGTATATTTCTACTGAACAGTGTTGTGAGAATGTATTATGATCGCAGACATCACTGTCCTGCCAACCACACAATGTATCTTTTCTATGTATCATTATTAAGTGTCTCTTTCCAATTTACTTAATTTTAAAACCTACCATCAGATGTTTAATCTGGTGGAGAGTAAGTACAAAAAGAGAGTCTTTCTAAACAGTTTTTTCTTACTCCTTTTAAACTGAAAGAAAATAGTATCTTTTGCCAGTTATGAAAGGTCAATGGGAAAAACTGAGAGAGGAAGAAAAGTCCTAAGAAGAAAATAAACTACTTCACCATGTCTTCCTGCTGCCAATCTTCCTGCTTATGTACATATTTTTAGGTGGAATCTTCTGCACCACATCCTGCATCCTTCACAAGGCACTACAGGTGGATAGACAGGTGCAGGTTGTTTGCACCAACCTCACAGTGAGGGCACCCGGTGCTCAGGTCTTAGCTCTGCATGGGTGAGGCCAACCCATGGTGGCAGAAGGAAACAGGAGTCACCCAAGGGCACCTGGCAATGCCGCCCCTCAGGGACAGAAGGAAGCAGAGGTCACCGAGCCCATTGAAGCTGCTCACCTTGATGTGCTCATGCAGTTGAGCCTCGTGCTGCCGTGACAGCTGCTCATGTTGCCGCTGGAACTCAGCAATGAGGATCTGCCGCTGGATCTGCTGCTTCTGTTTCAGCGCCAGAAGCTCCTGCTGCAGCTGCTGCTCTCGCAGCGCTGGCTCCGCCACAGGCAGCGAGAACTGGTGATCCAGGCGCAGGTCCATGGGCACTGCTGCAGGGGCCACTTGCAAAGGCAGTGCTGTGGCCACGTCCACTGCAGAGAGAGCACAGCACAAGAGAGTGGTCACTGCCGTGGAAGGCTGAGCCTGGAACTGGGTACCCTATTTTACCAAAGTCTCTTTGGCAACCATTACAAGGTGCTGTAGCCTGAAGGTTGTCTGGTGTCCCAATGTCATCCTTTAGCCCCTGGCCCAACAGGCTCAAAATGCAACATCCAGGGTTCTCTGGAGCTCCAGTTATCAAGCACAAAGATCTCAAAAGCAGTGAATGGTCAGACCGGTTGGCGCACTTACACTAAGCTTTTCCCCCATCCCTCCCTCCAGGATGGGTGGCCCTGTTTGCAAAGGACCACTGTATAGGCCTAAAGGCCTATCTGACATGATGCTGACAAGTTAATAAAGGGAAAGAAATACAGAAAAGGCCTCCAGTTAGCCAAGGAAAGAGCTGAGTGCCAGCACTGTGATGGGCAAAGTGCCTGTTCTTTTCTTCTGCCCCTTCTTCTTCCCCTAACGAAGCCACTGCAGAGTCGTGTATGAGCCCCAAGAACAGTGTGTGCCACAAAGTGGTCCAGATAGATGCTTGAGCAGAGAGCCTGTTTCCATGGCAAACGAGCACCCTCTTGGAAAACATGTTTACCCAACCAACTACAGCCAATGCAGTGTGCTCCTGGCCCAATGCGCACATTCATCAGGGCCAAGTTGCTGAACTCACATTGTGTCCATGGACTGCCGAAGAAAAGTGATTTTGATTCAAAGCAAAAGCTGAATCAATATCAATGCTTACAAATTAATTCCAAATTAAAGTGAGAGAAATAATGCAGAGGAAAGGTAACTTTTAAATATGAACATCATGAAGTAACCCTATGTGTGCTCCTTCTATGAAAAGTCATGTTGTGACCATGCATCAGCAGTGAGATGAGCCAGATGCCTCCTGGTGTGGTAAGTGCCTGACTAGGCATCATCAACAGGTGACACAGCAGTCACTGAGCCAGGGTAACAGTTCCATGGGTCTTACCCTTCAGAAAGCCTCCTTACAACAGAGACAGACAGACAGACAGACAGACACACACACACCTGCCTTGCTCACTTTTCTTAATCAGCCAGGGTAACAGTTCCATGTGTCTTACCCTTCAGAAAGCCTCCTTACAACAAACAGACAGACAGACAGACACACACACACACACACACCTGCCTTGCTCACTTTTCTTAATCAGCCAACAAGCTGAGTCCAGGGTCAAGAGGAGAAGGAAGGGGTCTTGCCCTCTAGGAGGGGCTTAAGGCCTAAACCCAACACAAAAGACCAATAAGAGGACCAGCTCCTTGTCCCTCAGCATCTTACATGCTTGACCTTGACCAGGTACCTCCCTAAGAGTGACCACTGCATGCCCCAGGACCTGAACCAGTCCAAAGGATTTCCACACCTAGATGATAGATGGACTCAGATCCAGCCCCCAACTATAACCCAGTTCCTGGAGAAAACTGTACTCCACCATCTCAAAGCCCACTGATTCAGGTAAGACAGCCTGTAAGTGGCCATTGCCTTCAACCCACAGCATTTCTGTGGTCACTTCTCAGGCAGTAGGCTGTAAGCTGGCTTTAGTCCCTGAATGACTAGAGATCCTGGTACCAGGACGTGACCTACTCCTATTGAGGCAAAGTGGCAAAAGCTGTGGACAGTCTGAACTTGAACTCTCCAAGTCTTGGAGTCCTCTACCAAAAGTGGTCATCATACCTCAAGGCAAGACTCACCTGGGAAGAGTTCAGGACAGGGCCCAGGATAGAGGGGTGTAATTGGAATGTGGAAGCTCTTGAGTTCCTTGACAAAACCACTATCTTTCAACTTCCAGGTGCCCACAGCCATCCCTGACTTCTGACCTGGCCTCGCGGCGCTGTCTGGACTCCCTCACAGCTGGGCAAACAGACACCAGTGGGTTGAGAGCAACCAGAACCTAAGAACACCTGGGCTCTAGACCACAGTAACCAGTCAGAAGAGACTACACACCCCAAAGGTTGTGTGATCAGGAGACTCTTCATGTCTGCTTACGACCTTCATGGGCTTCCTAATAAGCTTTTGGGAAGGAGCCACTGATGTTTCTTCTGCTTCATCCTCAGTGGGTGAGATGCAGCCCCAACTATTTTAATGGATGCTCTTGCTTCCTCATCAGGTTATCAGGCTAGACATATTAGAAGGGTTTTATTTGATTTGTGTATGTTCCACAGGCAGGACAGGGAGCAGTGAGCTGTGCCTGACTCACACATGTGGGTAAGGACTGGATCATACTTTCCTTTCTATCCTTTTTTGATTACTATAAAACACAGCAAAATGGAAAAACTGTGAACAATAACAGTTTTATAAAGCATTAGGATTTTCCTATGCCTGCTTCAGTCTTTCTTTTAAGGAATAAAATATTGTGGAAAACAGGGACTGAGAAGACAAACTTAGAAACAAGAAAGTAACTTAACTTCTTGTCAGAGACTGGCCACATGTGCTCCTTCTTGGGGCTGGGACTGTGCTGTCCTGCTTTGGAGATGCCATGTGCTAGCCACTGCCTGTATAAACATGCTGTGAGTGACTGTCAGGTTGGCCTGTGCCCCTCTCTATTGACCAGAAAGTCTTGGATACTTAGAGACTCCATAGGGTTAGTCAGTCTACTTCTGCTTTTTGGGGATAAACTGCTTTCTGAGTTACATATACAAATGTTCACTGATAGTTTGTTATTAGTTAGTTTGTTATTTACATAATGTTTGAGTCTACATCCATAGTGACAGTAGCCTATAATGTCTCTCTCACATTCTTATCTAGTTAGTCACTGATATTTTAGCTTAAATAAAAATGCACAAAAAGTTAATAAAGCAATCACAGTGCCTCACATTTTGAAGCTTCTATCTCCTGGACATTATGTCATTTGGCCCTATAGAGGGGAGAGTCAACTGTGACTTCTGCTTGCATGCTTGCATATGGGCTGGTATTCCCTAAGCCTGCAGAGTAACAAGGCTATGTGGCACAAATGCGGGGCATGGGAAGATCATCTACAGCTTGTCCATCACCACTTCTAACTCTCACAGATGCCAGGGAACATCAGAAATGCCTAGGAGTTAATCTCTAGGCATTTATAAAGGTTGCAATATATAACAACCTTTAAGGGATCACTTTTACTAACTGCAAAACCATTGTGGATCAAGCATTTCTACCCCATACATCCATTTACTAATGGCATAGGGATGGCTCCTGCTCTGGCCAGGGGGGCCTTACTGTAGACAGTCCCCAGGGAAGCCTGTTAGAGACCAGGTTGAGCAGGGGCTGATGGACTCTATATGGAAGGGTCCACAGGAACCTCTGTGAGGCTGTACCTCATGAAGATGGAAAAGGATTCTTCTAGGATAAAGAACCAGGATCCAGGGGCTGGCTGAGAGTGGAGGGTCATGGGGACATGGTGGCAATAAAGAGTTCTGACACTCAGGTAAAACAGCAGCCCTGTAAACTGCAAGTGCCAAAGCATCACTCAGGCTGGGGGAGGTAGGTAAAGGGCCTGTACAGAGGGCAGGAGGAAACACTGGGGCATCAGTTGCAGGCTGGGCAGCAGAGTGGGGAAAGGGAGGCAGTTCCAGGTGGTGGCCAAGACTGGGCTACTTCAGGAGCTCTTTTTCAGTTGTGAGGCAGAGTGGCAGCTGGCTTGGCACACCTACCACATGTCAACTGGGGTGAATTTGCATATTCAAACTTTTCTCACATTCTCCCTAGGAAGGAAAAGCAGAGAGCTCTTACAAGGAAACACAAATTCACACTTGGCCCAAAGCACCTGGTAGAAATGGTGCTGACATGACCGTGGTGCGACCATCCTGAAAACATTCTACTAGTCAGAGACTAAATCAAAGGCGCTAGCAGAGCCTAACTCAAGAAAATAAAGGGATCATGAGGTTCTCTGGATGTCAAGTGGCAGGTATGACTAGATATGGCCTGGACTCACTCAGATGGAGGAGAATAAGAAAATCTGTACTCTGAAGGGTGCTGTTGCTCACTGGACATGACCCAATCTTAACAAACTATAGCTTTACTGATAGGATAGGAAGAATTTTATTGATTGTTTTGCTTTTTGTAAATTTTATCTTCATTTCCACCCAATACACTCAAGCTATTAAGTGTTTTAGTTCCTAAGGCATTAATTTTTTAAGCCATTTTTGAAGCTATTTTCTTGGAAATTTGTAAGATCCCCACATTGGCCTAAATTTCATCTTAAAAGGAATTTGTAAACTGGACTGAAAGGTGATCAGTATGATTAAAAGTAACACACCCACAAGCAATGTGTGAGTGCACTACTATTGTCTCCCCATCTTTGAACAGGTGTGGATGCTTCTCACTGTTCCAGGCACACATCTGAACTTCCTATATGAGTGTGATCCTCTCTGAAGGTCACAGCTCTGTCTAGGTCTTCTCTATAGTTCCACCACACATGAAGTTACACAGTGGCCAGCCCAGCCAGTCCTATCCATGCCCATTTAATCTCATAGCACCTAAGAGCTCAAGAGGCAGGAAGTGAACAGCACAGGAGGTCCCTGGACTGCCTGCTGCTCTCCGCTCTGCAGTATTGTAGGTCACTTGGACATAGCTGATACCAGAATGCTCACCAGAGATGGGATTTTTTCCAACAGCACTTCCAGATCTCTCCCTATGGACACCAGAAAGCCCAGGTGAGCATCTGCTGTGATATAAGGAAGCTTGCAGGGGCTACTTCCTCTGCTCACACCGGTCCTGGGCTTACCTTACTGCTCTGTGCAAGCACAAGGCTAAGGGTGCCATGTTGGCAGTGGTACTCTAAGCAGAAGGCCGCCACTGAGCTCTCTGAAGCATTGCCTCCATTTTTTTCCAAGTGTTGGAAAGGGATGTAAATACTGCTTTGATTTACTGCCCTGAGATACTACAGAGAGCTTCATTTTCTGCTAAAGAAGTTAAAAGTAGAGCAGAGACGATCAAAAGACATTTGTCACCTATATCCCATGTCCCATAACCTACTGTTGCTTCCCCTTCATAAGCAAT